TGAAGGCCAGGGAAACGCCGCTGGGTTGTGACAGCTTGACTCAGCGCTTGGCGGCCCCAGTTTGGGCAGCACGGAGGGTGGAGAGAGGACCTGACAACTTCAGTATGGGGCAGGCTCACCAGCAGGACCTGTGGAAGGTGTGCAGAGTTGGGAAGATCCTGAACTAGGACTTGGAAGCGACTCAAATGCCGAGGCTGCCGTGGGTGTGAGGGTGGGGGCGAGTGAGGCCCAAGAGAAGGTGTTGGTGCGGGCTTGGGGGCTGTAAGGAAAGAGTGACAGCGGAGGCCTCCAGCTGGGCCCCCTGGCTGGGGTCAGGGCCTTGGCCTTCATTAGAGTTAGAGCCACTCCCTCCCTGGTAGACCTTTGGATGCTGCTGATGGGTACAGTCCCTCGCTCATCTGGACATCTGTCATTTGGAGAAGAAGGGGCGCTGTGCTGGGCCTCTGGGGTGGAGGGGCCAGAAGGCGCAGGGGAGGAGTGTGCCCTGCCAAACCTCTGCTTTGCAATTTCTGTCCCCTTTCCAGGTGGCAGTAGATGGTCCCTCGGACAAGAAGGAGGAGTGAGGGCTCCCCGCCTGCGGTTGGCTGCCACCTGGCCCACGCTCACTGCTTCCTGAGAGCCCGGCCTCCCGCGGTACTTCGGCTCGCTCCCTTCTGCTTCCGTTCCCTTGCATGCTTGCAGTTCATGCTCTCCCGGCATTCCATAGGGGTCCTGCTCCCACCCAGGATGAGCGAGGCAGGCACCCGGAACCCGGCTGAGGTGGGGCTTGCTTCCTCTGGGTTGAGCCCCTTCATGTTGCGTGTTGATGTTCGGGGCTCCAAGGCCCCTTTTCTCTGGTCCTGCAGGAGGGCAGGTGGAGCAGGAAGAGTAGAGTTTCTCTTGGGGCAATAAAGGTTGTTGTGATGTGTCTGTGGTGCGTGCATATAACTGAGGCCACGAGGAGGCCTCCTCACGCTTCCCTACCCCCCTGCCCTGGAGCGCCCTGGAAGGTCGTGGCAGGCAGCTGGGACAGAGACCCCTGGTCTTTGCTCTGGAGGCCTTCAGGGCAGTTTCAGTTTGTTCTAATCCCTGAAGGCTCCCTCGTCCCAGGCTGGGCCCAGGCTCACACTTGCCCTCTCTGCCCCTCTGCCTCCTGCTCCCCAGGCAAGGCACTGCTTTATGGCTATGTGGGGCGTGTCTGTCCTATTGGTCTCCCTGGGGGTTGGCCGCTGGGGCCAGGGGAGCTTGGGAGATGCGGTAAACTGGTGGGGCTTCCGGGTGGCAGACTCATCTGAGTTCTTTTCATCACATAAGGACAGATAGAACATGGCGGCTTGCCATCAGTCACTCCCTGCCCCACCCCCTCCTGAAGTTTTGCAGGATGACCTCTGACTAATGCTGACTGAGAGAGGAGACTCGCCCTTGGCAGTGACCTATGACTGGCCCAGGGCAGAGCTAGGCAGCGGGGAGGGCTTTAGATGGATCAGGTGCCCCGCCTGCCGTGAACGTGTTGGTGCCCCACCCTGCTCAGATCCGAACCTGCTCTTGCTGTGGGCTCCCGCTCGGCAGCCTCCCAGGCTGGCTTTGGCAGGTGGCCTCCATTGAGCAAGGCCTAGTGCTCAGGGCCCGCCTGAGCACCGGGCCTGGGACAGGGGCCTGGGCCGCTCATCCTCTGCTGGCCTCGCGGATGGTGGGTGGGTAGAATGACAGGGCGCCTGAAGACGGATGTTTTGGTGCTGACAGCCAGCCTTGCGTGCCGGCTCCTTCTGCCAGGCCCAGTCTGGTGGCTCCCTCTGCCAGTGTCCTTTCCCCACCTTCTCCTGAGGGTGCCGCCTCTTTCCAAGCAGCCTGCTAGGTGGTGTCTGCCGGGGAGGGAGCCCATAGGTGACGCCCTCTGGTTGCTATGCCAAGGCTGAGGGCTAGTCCCACTTTTCCAGGAAGTGTTCCCTGACTACCTCAGCTCCCTGAGCTCACCCTTCTTTGAACTTCTGCAGGCCAAAGTCCAGATGGTGTGGCTTCAGGCTCTTCCCTGGCCAGCCCCAGGTGGCCCCTGAACCTCCTTGGTGTCAGGCCCTGGACTGTGCAGAAGGGGAGAACCTGCACACAGCCACTTTTGGAGCACCTTGTCAGGACTCAGACTCTTGAAGGTGAAAAGCAAGGTGCTGGCCCAGGCTAGACTGAAGGGCCATCTGCAGCAACCCACCCACTCTGGCGCATCGCCAGGGGTCTTCCTCCAGCACCCTCCACTCTCTAAAGGAGACTGTCCCTGCTGTGCCCGACAGAATCCCCAGTCTCGCCCCTAGCTCTGGTAACCCCGTGGGTGCCCTTGGGCTGATCCATTTCTTTCCTTGTCTCTCCTACTAGACTGCTGATCCCTGTATCCTCAGCCCCTATCACAGAGTCCCGAGTAAGTGGTGCCTGCCTGCCGCTCTCAGGTCCCTGGCCAAGTGGTGTGACCTCTGTCAATTTCCCTTTCCTGTGATGTTGAAGTTTTCTGAGTCTTTGGTGGCCTTGTGGCAGGTGGCTTGGAGGCCATTTGGCAAGAGGTACCGAGGACCTGAGCCAAGGAAGGCCTGGCTGCAATCAGGGGAGTGGAGATGTGAAGGAGTTGATGTGAGTCCGGGTGGGGAGTGGCAGGGGCCTGAGAGTGACAACAGGCCAGGCTGCAGGAGAGGCAGGGACCATTGATGGAGGAGTTGATGGGGGCAGGGCGCCGTGTGAGGGGGCCTTCTCATCTCAGGAGAGCCAGGCTGCAGATGTGGGAGCTGCTAGCCCTCGGGGTTCTTGAAGTTGTGGGTGCGGCAGGAGCACAGACTGTAGGGTGAGAAGTCTTATTAAAGGAGAGACAAGGGTTGGGTTGGAAGACTGGGCTGCCAGGTGTCTGCTGGGCAGGGCCTGCAGGGGCCGGGCTGCAGCCCCGCCTGGGAGGCGCCGCTCTGTGCCGGCACAGGCTCTCAGGACCCAGCTTGTGTTGGGGCAGTGCCTGCTCAGCTGATGCTCCTTCCCCAGCTATGCAGTGACCCATCCCCTGTCCAGGTTCTTGGTGACCATCAGAGCGTGGGCTGGTGGCAGTGTCACAAGCCAGAGCCTGCCCCTGGCTGGATGGTTGCAATCTAAAGCCCTCTCCTCACTAAGGGGACTGTGCCTTGCTGAAGAGAGGGAGTGATCTCAGAGGGACTGCAGAGGAGCAAGCTGTCACTTCTGTCTGAAGGGCCACCACCTCCCTTCTGCCCAGGCTGGCATCTAGAGTGGGCAGCAGGCTCCCAAATCTTGACCCCCACCCCCTGCCTGATGGCCGGGCGGGCCCCTGCTCCCCTGCCAGTCATGCTCTTCTTCCCTCCCATTCCTCTGGGTGGAGTAGGGGCCCCGAATGGGTTCGCTTTCTTTGCTTCTTCCCCATCTCTTCTTTGAAATTGTGCTGAAATGTATGTTTTTTAACATTTTTTATTGATTCATAATCATTTTACAGTGTTGTGTCAAATTCCAGTGTTCAGCACAATTTCTCAGTCATTCATGGACATATACACACTCATTGTCACATTTTTTTCTCTGTGATTTATCATAACATTTTGTGTATATTTCCCTGTGCTATACAGTGTTTTATTCAAACTTTCATTTTAACCAGTTTTAAGATGACTGTTCAGGGGCACTGAGGACATTCACATTGCTGTGCAGTCGTCCCCTTCGTCACCATCAGAGCTGTAGTGTCTTCCCAGAATGCAGCTCCCTTCCTGTCCCACCCTCACCTCAGCCCCCCACCCCCAGCCGCTGCCACTCACCACGCTGCTTTTTGTCTCTGAATTTGACTACTCCAGGGACCTTGTAGAAGTGGAGTCACACATTATGTGTCTTTCTGTGACTGATTTCTTCCACTGAGCATAATGTCTTTGAGGTTTAGCCATGTGGTAGCAGGTGTCAGCATTTCATTCCTTTTAAGACTGAACACTTCCATTGTGTGGATGGATCCTGTTTTGTTCTTCCATTCCTCTGTTGGTGGACACTTGGGTTGCTTCCACCCCTTTCTTTCGCCCTTCCCCCTACCCCGAACCTCTCTTGTCCAGGTCTCCATGGTCTTGTCACCAAACGCAGCGAGCGGTCTCGGGCCTCTTCTCCCTCGACCATTGGCATCACCTGACAGAGCCCATCGCTCCCTCCTTGATGCCTAGGGGTCCTCATACGGGTTCCAGGACCAGCCTGGAACTCTGGGGCCCCTCCCAAACCCCCTCTTCTCTACCCGCTCTGAGTATCCCAGGAGGGCTCAGTGCTGGTGCCGCTTCTCCCTCTACAGTGGCCCATGCCCCGCGCCCTCCCCCCCGACCTTGGTTCACTCATCCGGGCTCAGGGATTTCAGGGCCATCTTTATGTAGTGAGACCCTCCAAAGTTCTGTCCCCAGTCCAGACTTTCCAGATCTGCAAACTCTGTCCACCTGCTGACTAGACATCTCTACTCTGATGACACTGCTGTCCCTGATCTGAAGACTTCTCACCTGCAGTGCTAGGGCCCTGGTCCAAGTGACGTCCACCTTCCCTGGGCTCTGCTGGAGCCTCCTCCCCAGCTCTCTACCTGGCCTGCCCCTTGGAAGGGCACTTGTTCAGTGCATCATTCGAGCAACCTTCAGACACCTCGGTGCCCGACTTCCCCCTTCCCAGACTTCCCCCTTCCCATCTCGGCGTGTCCGTCTTTAGCCTACTGTTACCCTCTCCCCAAGTGTGTCAGCTCCCTGGGGAAAAGGCTTTCTGCCGGCTGCCTTCCCTGCTCTATCTCCAGAGCCCGGCGCAGAGACCCTCAGAACAAACACTTGACCAGAAGCAGCTCAGCTTGAGGTGGGAGGCCTCCACCTGCACCTCCCCTGAGCCTCAGTCCCTGCCCATCTCTCCCCCCAACCCTCACCCCACAATACAAGCAGAGGGACAGAAGCCAGCTTTGGAAAACAGCATGTTTTTATTGCTATGTTTGCAGTGGATTTTTTAGCACAGTAAGAATGTCCCCGCTGGACCCCCGCCCTCACCCAGCCCCACCCCTCCAGCGGACATTGGTGCGGGGGGGATCCAGTCTCTCTTGGGCCCACTGGGCTGTGTGGGGATTGGACGTGACAGATGTGGGTTTAGTGAAGCTGCTACTCAGAGGACTTGAGACGTGGCGGGTGCATCAGCCTTAAGCTCGCAGGTGGGCGCCACGCCCAGGATCCCTCCCAGGCTGGGGCCCACCTCAGATCCCTGCATAGGTAGCAGTAGCGCCCAGCCCAGGGGCCAGGGCGTGGGCAAGCCTGAGCAAGCCAGGTGAGCAGCCCCAGATCCCCGCCAGAGCTGCCTTCACTCACCCCGCCCACTTGGGGGCGGAGGGGGGATGTGGGGATACCCACTGAGGCCCCTGCTGTGCACTTTTCTGCCCCAGGCTGGGGCCAGAGACTACATGCGCACCCACACGACAGACACACACTTGAAGCTTCTGTTTTGCCTATGAAAATTAGAGCTATAAATTCACACTCCTTGGCTGGGGCAGAGGTATAAGGGGCTGAAAGGGACGGGCAGAAATGGATGGGGGAGTGGCAAGGAGGACATCAGGGTGTTTTCTCTTTAGAAATATACAAGCAGAAATCTCAAGTTTTTATAAAATGTGCAAAATACAAGCCTCATTTGCCCACAGGCAGTTTACACCTGGTATTCACCTTTGCTAAGAGAGATCTGTATGTACCTACATGCTCACGCACACGTTCACTCATACACAAGCTCACACAATTGATATTGGTGGCAATTGGTGCAGGAACCGGGAGGTCCCCTTCCTGGCTGGCTCTCTTAAGCTTCTAGAGTAGGGATGGGGAGAGGGGGTCTAGCCCAGCTGAAATATTCGCCTTGGTTCTGCTGCCCATCCCTCCCCCTTCCCCCCCTCTCTTGCCCTCCTGTTCATTAAGCTGCCACTGTTGCCTCTGGGGTGAGGGGCCACCCAAGGGTGTGTTGGGCAGAGCCTGGAGGCGGGCAGGGCACAGCAGGGTCGGCTGAGACGTGACTAGCGGGCACTGGAGGGTGGGCAGCAGGGCCTGGGAAGCAGCCTGTGCACCAGCTTGGTTAAGGGCGGGGTTGGGGAGGCATCTATTTTTGGTGGGTTGTGATATTTTTGGCGTTTTATTAAAAATGGAAAAGATTATTTTAGTTATAAGCACTCTGGTGCTTCTTCCCCTTCCCCCACCCCAGGGGTGTCAGGGAAAGGCAGTTCCCCTGGAGGGGTGGGGGACTAAAGCAGGGGCTGCTATGGCTACAAGAGGGTGAGCTGGTGATGGGAGCTGGGATGCCTGTCACATGACGCTCTCCACGACCACCACCTTGCTGCTCTCAGACACTGGGGTCAGGGTGGTCAGGCCCCTGACATCCGAGTCCTGAGCTCTATACTCCAAGTGGTGGAGGCCCCAGACAGGCTGCGTCAGGTGCTGCCAGCGCTGCAGGAGAGAGGGACATGTTTAGTCCCTGGGGAAGGGCACCTGCTGGTCCCAGGCCTCTCTCCTCTTCCTGCCACCCACCACTGCCTCCCAGAGTGACTAAATAGGGCCCCTCCCTGCACTAGGGAAACAGGGCTCTCCTCCCCCTGCCACAACCTGAGGCCCTGGAGGGCCAACTTCCCTTCCATCTACCCCGCTCTGAGCTGGCCCGGAGACTCCTGGCACAGTGGTTGGTCCCGGGGAGTGGGAGAACGGGCACTCGAGGTCATATCCTGCCCCGGCAGGAGGGGGAGAGGGCAGGGGTGGCCTGGGGAACTGACCTCAGCCACGGTCCCCTTGGCCCTGAGGAGGCAGCCCAGGAGGTGGAGGGGCACACACAGCATGGAGGAGAGCGCGAAGCCCCAGCCCACAGCCTCGCCCCACCACGGGTACACGTAGGTGTTGTTGTAGACCAGCGGCTTGTAGTACACCACGTTGAAGATGAAGATGCCCTGCAAGCAGTAAGCTGTGTGCTCAGCGGGTGGCACAGGCCCTTGGTGCCCCTCGCCCTGCCCAGCCTGCCCCAGCCCTTACCATGCACACCAGCGGGGTGAAGAAAGACCAGCACCATTTCATCCAGGGGCAAGGTCGGTACCCGATCATGCAGGCCACATCATCCATGAAGCGGTCAGCTCCTGGGGTGGGCGAGGCCGGAGGGCCAGAGCTTGAGACCCACCACCCCGTGCCGTGCCGTGCCGCACGCACCCCCGGCCTGCCCCTCGGCCCAGACCTACCATACACCCAGGCCACCACCACGCATTCCCAGAAGGCCTGCCAGAGCAAGGTCGTGCCACTGGCTGAGTAGTAGTCAAACAGCTGGAAGACATACATCCCGCCCTGTGGACGGAGCCCGGTCAGGAGAGGTGGCAGCCGGCAGCAGGGGGCCCGGGTGTCCCTCAGCCCGCCCCCACTCACATCGGTCACCATGGAGAGGTCGATGACAAAGCAGAGGGTACAGCAGAGGGCCACGGAGATCTCCCTTTGGAAACGGAAGTAGTAGGAGGCCGGCAGGAGGTCCAGCAGGCCGGTGATGAAGCCTTCCACACCTACAAACTGTGGCCGGGCCGCTCAGGCTGTGCCCCTTCACCTGCCTGCCCGCCCGCCTGCCCCACCGGCCGTCCACCTCCCCACCTCCCGGGCCCCTCTGTTCTGTCTTCTCCCGGCAAACCTGGCTGTCGAGGCCGAGAAGCAGCAGCATGAAGAAGAACAGGGCAGCCCAGAGCGGGGCCACAGGCATCAGCGTGACAGCCCGGGGATAGGCGATGAAGGCCAGGCCAGGCCCTGAGAGGGAAGGGGCAGAGTGTGGGCACCTGTGGCCCCCACCCACATCTTGTCCCCACCTCCACACTGCCCCAGGGTACCAGATAATGGCAGGGCATCCTGTAGCCCAGGGTGAAGGCATTGCTGGGCCACTGAAGCCCCTGTGTGTGCCATCCCAGGGGTTGGAAGGTTCCCAAGGCCCTTGGTCAACCTCCACCCAGAAGAGTGGGGTGTCTGGCTCAGCCTTCTGGCCCTGGGTTCCAGCAGCTATTATGGTCACACGTTACCACTGACCCCAAGAAGGCTCTCCTTTCCCTTGGCAACACTCTGGCAAGTATGAGGACATACCTCAAGGCCCCTGGCTACAGAAGGCTGGGGGCTCCAGGCCCCATGTGACCCAGCCAAGGCTCCAGCTCTGAGTTGGCTGAACAGCTGGGCCTCGCAGCTGCTCAGCCAGGCTTACTTCTGGCCCAGAGTAATGTGACAAATCGAGTTTGAATTTTTCTCATTTCTCAAAATGTCTGCATGTGTGTTGGTGTTTGTGGTTAGGCCAGCAGCTGCTGCCCCAGAGGCCAGGCTGGGGCTTGGGGGTCTTTACCTGACTCTGCCACCTTGGAGATGTGCACGCCCTGCTCTGTGGCCATGAAGCCCAGGATGGAGAAGACCACAAAGCCAGCGAAGAAGCTGGTCCCGCTGTTGATAAGCGCGAGGATGATGGCGTCCCTGGGGGCAGAGGGGCCATGCGGGCTGGTGAGGCTGCCTGCTGCCCCCAGGCGGGCAGGGCAGGGGTGGCAGGGCTGCGGGGCCTACTTGTAGCAGTTGTTGTTGAAGCGATTGTAGCTCCCCAGGGCCGTGAGGGCCCCCAGGCCGATGGCGTAAGAAAAGAAAATCTGGGTCCCGGCATCTATCCATACCTGGAAGTGGGCCGGGAGACGGTGGGCATGAGGAGCCCTGCTGAGCTGGCCTGCCCCCTCCACCGGGTCCCACCCCAGCCCACCTGTCTCACCTGAGGGGACGCCAGCTTCGACCAGTCAGGCTTGAGATAGTAGACGATGCCGTCCAAGGCGCCAGGCAGCAGCACTCCACGCACCAGCAGCACAACGAGGACCACATAGGGGAATGTAGCCGTGAAGTACACGATCTGGGGGGCCAGGCTGCTCAGAGGTGTCCTGTGGCACCAGCCCCCATGCCCCCAGCCTGAACAGGACTGCCGGGAAGGCCACGGTCCCCCATACTGGATGGCATGTTCAGAAGTAAGGAGGGAGCCCAGCCAGCAGCACCCCGCTTCTAACCATCAGAACCACGGCTCCTTCCAAAGGAAGCTAGGTGCTCGGCTAGGGTGACTGGAGCACCAGCAGCCCCACGGCCAGCATGGGTCAGCTGCAGAGGGGAGAGGCAGGGCCCTCCCCCTGGCAGGGAGTTGGGTGGCAGCCTGGGGGCAGGCCCCAGGGATTCCAGGCCACCCCCTGCAGAGAACTGAGCCAGCCAGAGCCTCCAGAGCCTCCAGAGGGAAGGCTGCTGGGCCTGGACTTGGAGGCCATGGGGCGCGGATCAAGTGGCCTGGATGGAAGTACCTGCCCCCTGCCCCCTCCCTGGGCTCTGGCCCTGGTCCAGTCACTTCCCACTGCAACAGTGGTCCCTGGCGGAGACACCCCACCCCAAGGCAATGCTGCCCCCTCATGCTGCGGTCCCTTCTCCGCGCCCAGCCAAACCCTCCCCCCGCCTGCTGTACCTTTCCTGTTGACTTGACCCCCTTCCAGACACAGAAGTAGACCAGCACCCAGCAGGCCAGCAGACACAGGGTCACCTCCCAGTTGAGGGCCCCTGGCACATCCAGCCCCCCAGAGAGCCGCAAGACTTTGTTCCTGGGGGAGGGAGAGCGCATGAGGGCTGTGCTAGCCGAGGGCAAAGAGACGCGGAGCTGGCCCAGGCGTGGTGCTCCCCCTCCTGCAGCCCTTGAGTCCAGCTGCTCCGTCCTC